AAGGACACAGAAGCCACCAGAGCAAAGAAAAAAAGTCTGCAGATACCGAGCCTATTGTTCAGAAACCAGTTCGTACCCCAGAGGGAAGTCACTAGGCATTACCGAGAAAGAGTAATGGGAAAAGAAGTTTGGGATCTTGTGCCCCAGCCTGGCCTCTGTGTTTGCGAAGGGCGAGGTATGTGAAAGGGAGCCTGGGAGGGGGTTGCCTGCTGCATGCTCTCAGAATGATTCAGAGACTGGGTGAGTCAGGAGGGCATATATTTCACAGTCAAGGGGTCAATGGTGGCCACAGACACAGGGCTTCTGCTGGCCATAGCAAATACAGTGCCAAGGACTTCAACGGATTAGAGGCAACTAGAAGAGTAAAGGAGTATGAAATTGTACCATGTAAAGGCCAGGCAACCTTGGGCCCGGGTCTGTCCTCTGTGGGGATGAATCACAGTAACAAATCTAATGGATATTGAGTGCTCACTGTGTGCCAGACTCCACGCTAAGTGTGTGTGTGTGTATTGTTGTTGTTGGGTGCCATCGAGTCGATTCTAACTGATAGCAACCTCATGTGACAGAGTAGAACTGTCCCATAGGGTGTTCTAGGCTGTAATCTTTACAGGATGGAGCCCTTGTAGAGCAGTGGTTAAGCGCTTGGCTGCTAACCAAAAGGTCAGCAGTTCGAACCCACCAGTGGCTCTGACGGAGAAGATGTGGCAGTCTGCTTCCATAAAGATTACAAGCCTTGGAAACCCTATAGGGCAGTTCTATTCTGTCCTGTAGGGTCACTATGAGTTGCAATGGACTCGAAGTCAATGGGTTTGTTTTTTTTTTTGTTAATCATTATGGGAGCAGAAGCCCTAGTGACACAGTGGTTAAAGTGATCGACTACTAACTGAAAGGTGGGTGGTTTGAAACCACCAGTGCTCCGAGGGAGAAGGATGTGGCAGCCTGCTTCTGTAGAGATTTACAGCCTTGGGAATCCTATAGGGTCGCTATGAGTCAGAATTGACTTGATGGTAGTAGGTTTTGGGTTATGGGAGCAGATTGCCAGATCTTTCACCTGTGGGGTGGGTTCGAACCGCCATCCTTTCAGTTAGCAGCCAAGTGCTTAACCAGGCCTCCATATATATAATTTCATTTAATCCTCACAGCAACTCCATGAGGTAGATATGATGTCTTAAGACGAGGAAACTGAAGCACAGGAAGTGAAAGAAATTTGCTCAAGGACACATATCTATGGAGTTGGACTCAAACCCCAATTGGGTAAGTTCAGAGGGGTGACCTCAGAGGCCATGCTCTAAATGAGTGCTTCTCACCCATTAATGTGCACACAAATCACTTGGGGATCTGGTAAAATGCAGACTCTGATTCAGTAGATCTGCGGTGGGCCTAAGATTCTACATGTCTAAGATCTCCCAGGATGATAATAGTGCTGCTGGTCCCCTTACCACACTTTGAGAAGCTAGATTCTAAACCACCGCACCACACTGATTTCAGGAAGTTACACTAAACCATCTATGAGCTTACAGACCTCCTCCTCCTTTTCTATCACCACCATCATCCATTTGCTGAGCAGTTTACTATATAAGTAAAAATACTACATCAAACCCATTGAGTGCGTTATCTTACTACATCCTCATGATAGCACCATGAGGTAAGTGATACCATTTGCCTTTTATAGATAAAGAAATGGAGCCTTTGACTCATGAGTGACCTTATATACAAGAGAATGAAACGGTGCCTGGTCCTGTGTCATCTCACAGTCGCCAGCAGGTTTGAGTCCATCCCTGTGGCCATTGTGCCAATCCGTCTCGCTAATGGCCTCCCATGCCTTTGCTGGCCCTCTGCTTCACCAAACATGATGTCCTTCTCTGGTGATTCATTTGTCCTGATGACTTCTCCAAAGCAAGCAAGTCAGACAGTGTTCTATAGTGATCCGTAAGGGTTTCATTGGCTAATTTTACAAAGTAGATCACCAGGCCTTTCTTTCTGATCTGTCAGTCTGGAAGCTCCACTGGAACCTGTCTCCCATGCATGACCCTGCTAGTATCTGAAATGCCAGTGACATAGCGTCCAGCATCACAGCAACATGCCAGCCACCACAGTATGGCAAACTGATGGATGGGTAGTGGGAACACAGGCCTTAGAGGCTGAGAAACTTTCCTCTTTCGGATCAAAGTTTGGAGTGTGAAAGAAAACATAGTTCCTTGGAGCCGGGATTAAACTTCTCCCTCCCTTTCCCTTCCCTCCTCCACGGCCCTTCCTTCTCTTCCCCCAGATACCAAAGCAAGAGCGCTAACAATCCTTGTAATTCACGTCTCAGCAAGTACAGACACACCTGATTTCCTTACATGCCTAGAATCCCTTCTAAATCACGTAAAGTTATTTGCCTTTATAAATCTCACTAGCAATGAACTCCCTGGGATAATTATGTGTACTATATATATATTATATATATATATATAATTTTATAAAGCCAACTCTAATAAAAAATGAACTAAGTCCCTACTCAATAATAATTTTCTATCCCTTATAAATCTGCAGCATTTATTTTTGACTGTCCCTTGTATTTTACTTCCTTAGTAGACAGAGACACAGAATCAGATGCCATTTGGCATGGGGCAACACTTTCAGCTGGGTCTCAGAAGAACTGACTTTGAGTCACTGCTATGCTCCTTGCTAGCTTTGTGAAGTTGAGCGATTCCCCAATCTCCCCGAGCCTCAGTTTCCTCATCCATAAAATGGGCTGCTAGCAATATCTACCACACAAGGTTACGAAGATTAAATAAGCCATAACTATGTGAAGGTACCTGGCATAAGAGAGATGATCAGTGTTGAATCTTCTTTTTTTCCTGGTAGTGGGAAATGATAACTAGGATGTGACTGGGTCCTTCTCTATATCTCTCACGATTTTATGGTATATCTTCCATCCAAACAACTAGTCATCGACTTAGTAAACTGCTAATTTCCAAATCAGTCTGAGGCTCAAGGCAAGGCTAGGTTGAACTTAGAATCAGTTCCCTCCTGCATCTTTCTCAGATTTTTGTTGAGCTTAATTTTTTTTGTGAATATCTCCAGTTTTCTGCAAAAGGCCCGTACGCCAGCTGGTCTGTTCCTTCTATGTTTAATTCACCCCCATTAACCTGCTTGGTCAGTATATCTTCCCATCTCCTTTCTGTTTTTTTCAGGAGCGCATCTGTCTGGAAAAGGCATTTATTATGTTTACTTTAACTGGCCTCATTTGGCAAGGTGGTCTGGGATTTCAGCTCGGGAGGAAAACAGCTTTGATTATATTGCCCTTGTTTACTGTACACGCACTTTGCTATGTATCCCTTGTCTACTAAGA